TTGGGCTGTACCACTGCATACGCTGTTTTCACACCTTCCAATAGTTTTTGGAGAACCCACCCACATGTACAATGGTGGGAATGCTGAATTATTCCTAATATTTACTAAATAGCTAAAATTTATTAAATACAATAAAAAATACTCTTGAACTCTTTAATATCTTGCTGATATTCAAAGCCTGAGATGCTGCAGTATATTTGGAATAAATTAAATGGCATGCTCGATTGTTAGTGCTGGACACTTTGCTTAAGAACAGACATTTTGAAAACAGAAGTTACTGACTTACAAGATAGGTACGCCCATGGCCAGAGCTGGGATAATTCAGAACGCTAATAATCTGTTTTTCTTCTTTTCTAGAGTCAAGTTTCCTTGTGTTTTTGCAGGTCAGTGACACGCCTCATTGTTCACAATAGTTTTCTTTTTGTTTTGTTGGGGTTTTTCCCCCATCTGTGTTCTTTTAATACAAAGTAGACAGCTTGCACTGGCCCATAACCTGTGTGGATCATATCCATATTACAGTCAATGTGTTATGGAAGTCTTAAAACCTGACAAAGGGACTTTGAGACAGAAATTACCAGCACATGCTTTTTTGCTCTCTGATCTTTTCTAGGGGAGTTTATACATGCATTCTCTCTGTGGATCTCAGATTGCAAAGCCAGAGACAGCTTTTACATTTCACTTAATGTTGCCTTTTTCTTCACCAGTCACTTGAGACCTCTTTAGGCAGCAAAATTGTCTGAAATTATTTGGATGTTTGTATCTTTTGGATAAAACTCCTTTTATAAATAGCATTTACTGATTGCAGCTTTTTTCTTTTCTTTTTAAACACTGGTGGAGCTGTTTACACTGTTTCTGTACGCACACATCAGGAAAGGCTTTTAGTGTTGGGCTCAGCATGCAACCAAGCAGTCCTTTGGAGTGGTAATAGATTTGTAGTCTGAGAGCTGAAGGCCACATGAAATAACTTTTTTTTCCCCCAATGGAGAGTTGAATAACATGAGGTAGTGCTCTGATACTCTTCTTTGTATCAAAGCCAGCTGTGCTCCCAGAGCAGTGGTACCGGAATCTCCACAAAATTAATAATGCCAAAGATGTTGGGGGGGCGGGGCATGTTAAGAAATGGGACCATCATCTCTGTAAAGTGCTAAAGTTTTTAATTGGAATGGTAAACTACTGCACAATGCATAAAATGTCTTGACATCCTTTCTGTAAAGCTTTTTTATTCCTCTTCTCTCTGTATCTTTTTGTCAATGTTTTCATGGGGTCCTGTACCACTATGAAGTATTACCAATTTGCAGCTTCACTTTGGTTTTCTACAGATTCGGAATCTGTAAAAGTGACAATTACAAGTGAGCTTATATTGCTGTAAGGCTGGGAGTTCTTAAGGCTTCTTTGAGGACAGCTGGCGCAGAGCAAGTAAAAGGCTTGGGGTTGGGCTGTGTAATGCTCTTTCCAAAACTGTAAACAGCCCAGCATGCTGTCCTGAAATGCCCTGAAGGGAGAAAACTGTTAAGGAAACAAAGCTGCCAATTATAGAAAAATTTCTGAGACTCTACTTTCAGAATTTCTGAGGTGCCTTGGACCACATCCAGGGCATCAGCTAATCTTCCAGTTGTTGGACTCCACTTTTGGTCATCCTGATTAAAAAAAACAAAAAACAAAACCAACCAAACAAACCAAACCAAAAAACCTCCCAACAAGAAGAAAACAGAAGAGTACCAGTCCTTGAGCAGTTCCTTGTTTTGGTGGTCAGCTGTTTATCAGTTGTGATAGCGTGGGTATTTGTAATAGGAGCTGTTACTGAATCAGTCCACCACTTGCCTGGACAGGTTTGATCCAGTGAGCTCCAAGTTTTCCTTATGCTGTGGTCCAAGAACTATTTTCAAACCCACTGTGTTTTATTTAAACTTTGTAAGTCAGGTGGCTACTGACTAGCTATAACTATGTTTGGTACGTCGTTATTCAACTTATTATTTGAGCAAAATATTTGGTGTTGGTGGGTATCTTTATTACTAGATTAGAGAAGGAACTGGCCCCTTAAAAAAAAAAATAAAATCCATGCCCACCCTGCAACTGACCCAACAACCCCCCCCACCCCAAACTAAACATATGATTCAATAATAAGGCTAAAGGCTTCCTGCTAAAGTGAGCAAAGGTAATGCCCATGTCTACACTGCATCTATTTCTCCATTTGAAGGCTCTCATTTTCTTTGCCAGTCTGAAGTGTTGCTGAATGTGTCACCAGCTAGTGGAGAGCAGTTACTGTATTCAGGCTTACTCAGGTAAAGGAGTAAACTTTCCCTTTACGAAGCATGGATAAAGCTTGGCCCCCAAAGGGATCCAGGGTAACAGTGGAGTGCCAGCCTCACTCAAGAAGGATGCAATCAGTGTTTTCTGGGGAGGTCCCAGCTTTTAAAAATGTTGAGCAGATTAGCAGGGTACTGTGTAGGCATTCGAGCCCTGAGTTTCTTTTGTTTTCCTTTGAAATGGGATAAAGGGATGAATCAGAAGCTGAAAAAACGAGGGACAGTCCTTGAGGGAAAAACATCAAGTTCAGACGTGCTCAGAAGGCTCATGAAGTGTTTGTTATAGCCAAATTAGTTCAAGAAATTAGTACACATCTGCAAAGATTTAGATAAGCTCTCTTAAGGTAGGTACTTGATTTTATATAGTGAAGATGACTTGGCCTTTCAATAAGGTGAATACAAGTGGTTCACTAACTGCAGTTGTAGGTGTTATCTGTTTCTTTACTTTACAATATGTAAAATTGCCGATGGCATAAATAAACATGAAGACATTTGTTAAATATCTTGATTTCCTTGTTGCTATTGTACTTCAGGGAACATTAGTCCTTCTGATAGGACTGAAAATGTTCCCAAGTTGTCAGAGCTTGTTCTTTCTCATGAGTAAGTGGGTTATCCTGCTTGCAATTTATCATGTTCTCTTAAGTTATTTAGGTTGTATGTCCTTTACAGCTATCAAAAGGCTAATCCAAAGCTTAATGTTTGAGATATCTTCAAATTTCCAGCTTTTTCCAGCTGCAAGTCTGGCCTTCCATTTGTGTCAGGTTTATGTTTATTCTTGGGTTGTAGTCCTTGGTTCTTGAATGCACCCATATAGAATATTCAGCTACTGTTAATTTTGCTAGATGAAACTAGACTTACAGTTTCCTCCTGTAAAATAGGCTTTTTATTGTCCGTATCGTTCTGACCTGTCCTTCCCCTCCACGCTGCTTGCCATCTGAATCCAGTCATTTCTGAACATGGGTGACTGGTGCTGCTTGCAGAATCCAGATGAGGATCTGTTAGCATTCAGTGAAAAAAGATTTTTGGTTTAGTGATTTCTGTATTATGCTGTGCTTTTGGCTGTATCTACTCCAGTTATCCTTGTTCTAGCTTTTTTGTGTCTGGATTTTTTTAATCTGTATAGTTGCTTTTAAGAATCTGCTTGCAGCATGACATCTTTACTTTTTTGTGTTTTTTTTCCAGTAAGGCTTTTATTTTGTAGAATAATTCCTACCTAATGTTTGGCTGACTTTCAGAGATTCTCGAAAGAAGGCTTATTTTACACTGTGGAGTTCAGCTGCTCTGAAATAGATGATGCCCATGCTGTTCACATTAAGCATCAGGGAATTTCCAGATAGCTTGAATTTCTTTGTGGTGAATTTCTTTTCTAGGAAGATGGATGCCTTTACTTGTTCATCACTTCAGTACCCTTTATTGTACTGTTACAAATGAAAACTGGTCTGCTTTATTAGAACTCATTTTCTTGGCTTATCTCTTCAGACAGCTCCTCCCTTTAAGCAGCAGCTGTCTTAAATCATCTGCTCAGGAGGTTTTTTTAAGGAGAGTGGGAGGAAAGAAAGGTTTGATAATGACTGTTCTGAGTTTGGTCATTTAACAGTTCATCTCTTGTGTACATGTTTTTACCCTGTATATGTGTGTTTTGCTTTTTTAAGTTGCCACTTCCTTCTCTATTGAATATTGATGGTTTTGTTCAGTGTAACACGAACTGAGGGGGATTTATCTTTAGATCTTTACGTTCTAAAGAGATGACAGAGTAGTATGCATGCTCTGCTGGGATCAAAAGGCAGCAGCATTTCTTGGTTTATGTATTCTAAGAAACTTGTTGTTTCTGGAGAGCTTTTGGTGACAAACTCCAAACTCTCTCTCCGTGAGACCATTCAAAAGCTGTGTAACTTTGTTGCTGTTAGGGCAGCTATATTTAGTTCTTTTAAAGAATTAACTTTTTTCCTAGAAAATGGGTATTAATGCTTTCCTTAGCATCTCAAAGTGTACTGAAAGCATTAATCTTTGCCATTGTGCATTACTTGGGTGAATCGTTGTTCTAAGAGCAACGTAGATGGAAAGATGATGTGCAGACTGGCAAAATGAATCATCTTGATCAAGTTGGCCAAGGTGCCACTGCAGTGTAAGGTTTTGGTCTGATACATGTTTGTTTTCATACACTGTAAGCTATTGTGATGCATTTGGAAGTAATCTGGACTTGGGGTCTATCAATCGTCTGATCGTTGCAGTGATAATAATTACTATTACTGAAATTTGAATAATTTTCCAGAGACTTCTCTGTCATATTGCCAATTTCTTAACACTCTTCCTCTAGCTACCAGTCACCCTTCCCAGATAGGACCTAAGTTTTCCAAGTTGTAAAGACTGTCTCTTCATAAATCTTTTTTTCTTTCTTTATACAGCAAGAGACGGAGGGAAGGGAAAAAGTTTCAAGGCCAATTTTTTATTCTCTTTAGGTGTAGTATGCCTAGGGCGTATGTACAAGGAAAGGGCTGGATGCTTTCAAAAACCTTTTAAAGTAATCTTTGGCTGCAGAAATGTCAAAATTGGGTCTCGATAATGGAAGAAGGTAGCAAAGGCTGTGGGAGAGGATAGATTTTTCTTAAATCTAATCTTTTGGGATTTAAAGCTCTTACTTCGTCTAGGTGATCAAGGTAGAAGCTGCCTTCCTTAACATTCTCTTTTCTTTCTAGGTTTCCATGAAGATAAACAATTGAAATGTGGATAGCCTATTTGTAGCTTGGTGGTGGTTGTCATCTGGAACCTGCTGGTGTCTCCTCCCAGTAGTTGGTGTAACACTGGCTGCTGAGAGCCATGAAGGTTGTACCGGAGAAGAATGCGGTCCGCATCCTGTGGGGTAGGGAACGGGGTACACAAGCCTTGGGTGCTCAGCGGCTTCTGCAGGAGTTGGTGGAGGATAAAACTCGATGGATGAAATGGGAGGGCAAGGTAAGGTTGTGGGATAGAGGTGCATAGCTTGATCTTGGAGTGGGGGAAGGGAGGGATTTGAAATAAATTGTCTCGTGACACTGTACATTTGATGTGTTACACTTGATATGCTCTCTGGCTCTGATCAGTTCCTGCAGTGATGTGATACTAGATATGTTCCTGCAGCGGGTTCCCCTTGTTATCTGTGTATGATCATATGACACTTGCAACACTTCCTGCTTTGTTGGCTTTTTCAGAAAGTTGAGTTACCAGACAGTCCACGCTCCACCTTCTTGCTGGCGTTTAGTCCAGACAGGTAATTAACTCCTGGTTCGTTCCCTGTTTCAGCAGTCTCCTTACACTTAAAAAAGTGATGGAGGCTTGTGCCCGTTGAGTTGTCCAGTCCTGAGTAGCTGAGTGAAACTTCTGGTTCCTGACATGCATGGATGGAACATGTGCACCTTCCTAATCTCACAGCTTTGAGCATAATTGGTGTTTAATTTCTGAGGTACCCAAGCGATGCATAGTTTTAAGGAAAAAGGATCTGTGCGGCCATTGTGGGATTTCATAAGAAACTTTAGGGAGTAAAGGGTGTTTTAGCACAACATGCCAAGTGATGCAGCACACCTGCTGGGATATCTAGGACTAAAGAACAGAGCAGAATGATGCGTATATTGGAAGCAGAAATGGAGGTGGGATCTCTCTTAGCGTCACTTAATTTGACAGTGGTTGAGATGGTGTGGAGAACTGGGAATATTTATTTGCCCCAAACTGTCACTCAGGAGTTCCTTCTGAGCTGCATGTTCACTCTGACTTTCGAGGTCAAGTTTGTGCTTGCAGATTGGATGAGCCCATGTTTGTATGGACCCTGAAAAGTGGCTACAGGGAGCTTTGTGGCCATTGGTGAAACAGTAGATTCTTACCCTTGAGCTCTGTGTGGGAGAGCTGCTGGGTTAGGTATGAGCAGACCCTGTTGAGATGAAGCTAACCATAGTCTGGTTTTGCTGTACTCTTCTCATGCTAATGTTTGTCCAACCTTCTGCATTCCCAGGACCCTAATGGCTTCCACACATGTGAACCACAACATCTACATCACAGAGGTGAAAACGGGCAAGTGTGTTCATTCCTTGGTTGGACATCGCCGCACTCCCTGGTGTGTCACCTTCCATCCCACCATCCCAGGCCTCATTGCTTCAGGATGCCTAGATGGGGAGGTTAGAATTTGGGATTTACATGTAAGTCTCTTCTGAAACATATGTGCCTTTGGTATTTGGTGGGTACCCAAATGTTGCCTGGTAAAGGAGCTGTTTGGAAACTTTGCTGGAACCTGTCTCTAAGCACATAGAACAGATCACAGCCATCCTTCTCTGTCTAGAGAGGAGGTGACAGATTCTTTGTTCAATCCCACCAGGTAGGTCATGCTCTTGTTTATTTGATAAGAGTGGTACAGATGATGCTGGAGAACTTTGTGCAAGGTGCCTGTTTAGGTCTTATGTGAAAGATGCGCCATTTTTCATTCCACTGAGCGTATCTGAACTCTTCATTAGAGAAGCTGTTGCTCTGACAGTTCTACCTAGTCTGGTGATTGGCACAGAGACAAAACACGTATACTTACCTGGTTGCTTTGAAATGCAGCATTTTTACAGGCTGCTTGAGGCATGCTTACTTACTAAAATACATTTATGGTCATTGCTGCAAGTAGTGTTATGTTCTACACATGACCTTGTGTGAGAGCAGCTGTTGTTGTTGCCAAGAAAGCATGTCACTTCCATGCTCTAGGCAGAGTCTTAGAGAGATGGCACACACATGGAAACCTAATGATCTCAAACTTTGTGATAAACTGCTTGTGATTCTTGACTCCTCACTCAGGGTGGAAGTGAGAGCTGGTTCACAGATAGCAACAATGCCATTGCGTCGCTTGCTTTTCATCCTACGGCTCAGCTTTTGCTGATTGCAACTGCCAATGAGATACATTTCTGGGACTGGAGTCGTCGGGAGCCTTTTGCAGTAGTGAAAACAGCCAGCGAAATGGAGCGGGTCAGGTAAGTTCCTGTTTCCAGGGGAAGAGAACACTTTTATGTGAAAAATGGTCAGATAGGGGGTATGTAGGGGGTTCCTCTGGGATGCTGCACCCTCTGCACTGAGGCAGCAGAGAGGTGTTGCTTGCGGCTCCTTGACTCACTTGGTAGAAACAGTTCTGTGGGCAGGAAAAAAAGCAGTTTGAAATAATAGATCAGATTGATTGTTCATATTTGTAATCAGACGTGTGCCCAGTAAATGCCCAGAATCTACTTCATGTTCATTTGTAAGCTTAGTAATTAAACTTGTCAGCCATAAGGATGAGAGAACCCACAAGCTGCTGGACGAGAGAGTGCTGAGCTGTTACTTTGGTGCAGTTATGGAGGAAACTGCATTGCTGGAAACTTGATGCCTTCATTTGAGCAATTTAAAATAAGACAATGATGTAACATTCAAGGCAAATTAATCTCTCCCTTTGTACCAAATTCCAATTTGTAATGTACATGTACATATTCCTTGAAATTTCCTGGCTGTTTCAATTGATAGAGCAGTACTTGCTTCTAGCTTTTAACTTCTGTATAGTGTTTCTGTAGACTATAAAATAACGTCAGTCTTTGGCTAGACAAGTATGTTTTCTTCTTAATGCATAAACTCTTTCATATCCTTCAGAAGAAGATGATGATAATGTAGTAATGTTCTCATTGCGCATATTTCACATGGGGTTTTCTTTCCTGCTGTGTCCAGCTTCCTGTCTCAATGTGGAACGTGAACTGATGATTGATACTCTGTCTCTGTGCTTTTGTTTTAGGCTGGTACGGTTTGATCCCTTGGGACACTACTTGCTCACAGCAATTGTTAACCCTTCTAACCAGCAGGTAAGGGGAGTGTCAGTACCTGTATTGACTGGCTAATTACAAGATGCTCTACATACATTAACCCTAGTCTGTTCCTAAGCAGCCTTGTGCTTTTCTGAAAACCTGAAATCCTTCTAGGTCAAGTTCTGTCTCACCTTAATTGGTCACATGAACGTTCTTGTGTTATGTGCAGGGCTATTAAAAAGCCCTCCAAAGTATGTTTGGTTTGCCCTCGTTGCCTCATTAGTGGTGGACGGATGTCCCAAAGGCCCTGCTCTTTCTGTTCAGTTGTGACATTCTGCTGGATTTGAAGCTATGTGAGGTATTAACAGCTGCTGACCCTCAAATGCTGATGCTTCTGTTTGTATGAACAGTGTATTGTCAAAGCTTGCTGGGCTGTAGGAAGAGGTTGTCTGGATCCATACAATGAACTTTGAAATAATCGCAGCTGCTTTCCTGCAAGTCAAGGCCTTTTGGAAAGGACTCACCACATCCTTTCATCTGTCTGGGATAGTAGCTGACTTTCTGCAAACTGTTTATTTGAAGGTATAGGATTTTGCTGTGAGGTGACTGAACTTTGATTGCTTCCTTCTTGCAGAGTGATGAAGAAGTGGAAATCTCTGTGGACAGCACAGAGATGCCGCATTATCGCCAGCGTGCTATTCTTCCATCTCAGCCTGTGAGGCGTACACCCCTCCTCCACAACTTCCTGCATATGTTGTCCTCCCGCTCCTCTGGCATACAGGTGGGAGAGCAAAACAGTGTTCAAGACTCTGCTACCCCATCCCCTCCACCGCCTCCACCACCACCACCTCCGCCTCCAGCCAGTGAGAACACAAGGGCATCTGTCTATAACAGGCTCCGGGAGCGTGTCAGCTATCCCACAGCAGAGTGCTGCCAGCACCTGGGGATGTTGTGCCTTTGCAGCCGATGCTCTAGTGCAAGACTTCCTTCTTCTCTCTTCCCACACCAGGAAAATGCACCCTCCACGTCTTCTGGGGCCACTGGCACTTCCTTCTCCTCTGTGCAGACAGAGCCTTATCAACCCCCAGAGCAGGCATCCATAGTGCAGGAGGAGCAGGGGATACTTAACAGGCCCTCTGCTTTCAGCACAGTTCAGAGCAGCACTGCTGGCAACACCCTGCGCAACCTTAGCCTGGGCCCCACGCGGCGGTCCCTCAGCGGGCCCCTGGCAGGCCACCAGTCCCGGTACCAACAGTCTGCGAGAGAGATGGCTTCGGGCTTAGGCGGGTCTGACTGGTCCAGGACAGTGCTGAACATGAGCTCTCGGTCAGAGCTGGAAGCCATGCCTCCCCCTAGGACCAGTGCCTCCTCTGTGAGCTTGCTGTCGGTGCTGAGACAGCAGGAGGGAGGTTCCCAGGCATCGGTCTATACCTCTGCAACAGAAGGGAGGGGCTTTCTGGCCCCAGGGGCTGAGGCGGACAGTGGTGGTAGCGCTGGCCCTAGCAATCCGGCCAGCATCCGTAATGAGCTCCAGTGTGATTTGAGGCGATTCTTCCTGGAATATGACCGGCTTCAGGAGTTAGATCAGGGGATTGGTGGGGAACCCAGCCAGTCGCAACAGGCTCAAGAAATGCTCAACAACAACATTGAGCCTGGTCGGCCGGGTCCCTCCCATCAGCAGACTCCACACAGCAGTGAAAACATTTCCAATTTGTCCCGGGGTCGCCGGAACCGCTGTCGCGCTTGTCATAACCTGCTGACCTTTAACAATGACACGCTGCGCTGGGAAAGAAGCACGCCTAGCTACACACCAGGGCAGGTCCAAAGCACGTTTGAGGGTGTGCCTCCAAATACCAGCCAGGTGCAGCCTGCAGAGAGAACCGAGGGCAGAACTCCTGCCTCTAGCAGGCTGCAGCTGGGCAGCTCTTCCACCCCGCAGGAGGAGAGGACCGTGGGAGTGGTCTTTAACCAGGAGACGGGGCATTTTTGGAAAGAGTTTACAGCCAGTCGGCTTCAAGCAGACCTGGGAATGTATCACAGGAGGCCTTAAACCAGGAAATGCCTGAGGAAAGCTCAGAGGAGGATTCACTCAGGAGGTAAGATATATATGCTTGGCCTTCCTCCTCTATTTTTACTTAAACTTTTCCCATCTAGTCTGAGTTTTTCAGTCTTTTCAGAGTTAAAAAGCTTTTCTTGTGTGGTCATGTGCTATTTATGTAGATGAAAATAGAGACATTGCATTGATGTCTTTTATAGCTGCCATTGTCATGCTGCAGATAGGTTCTGAGTGTGTCTGTGAAGATGAATACCAGACCTCTCAAAGGGAAAGGAGAATGGTAGCGCAGGCAGGCAAAAGTTCGGGCTCTGGCAAGCAGATCTCTGGGATGAACTGTGATCCTGGCAGTTCCCAGACACTGCAGAAGGGCGGGAACACAGGATGTGCTACGCTGTCCTTTTGTGCCCCATACCATGCCTGTGCTGCACATGGAGAATCTGCCCAGGGTAGGCATGGAAAATTGGTCACAAATACTGAGAATTGCTTTCTTGAGTGCTTTGTCCTATTGAGGTTGTAGTTGTTAAGTTGGAAGGGTTAACAATCATTTCCTTGGTGTTGCCATATAGGGCAAAAAAAATCAAAGCTCTGTGTCAGTGGTTTGTGTATATGCACCCATTTTTAAAAACAGTGGCAAGGACCCTGGGAACTACTGGCCTGTCAACCCTACTTCTGTGCCTGGGAGGATTATGGAACAGATCCTCCTAGAAGCTATGCTAAGGCACATGGAGGACAGGGAGGTGATTTCAGACAGCCAGCATGGCTTCACCAAGAGCAAGTCCTGCCTGAGCAACCTTGTGGCCTTCTGTGATGGAGTGTCCACGTCAGTGGACAAGGGAAGAGCTACCAATGTTATCTATCTGGACTTCTGTAAGGCCTCTGACATGGTCCCTTACAACATCCTTCTCTCTAAAATGGAGAGAGATGGATTTGATGGGTGGGCAGTTTGTTGGATGAGGAGTTTGTTGGATAGTTGCATCCAGAGGGTGGTGGTCAATGGCTCAATGTCCAGATGGAGATCGGTGATGAGTGGTGTCCCTCAGGGGTCTGTACTGGGACCAGTACTCTTTAATATCTTAATCAATGGCATAGCAGGATCGAGTGCCCCCACAGCAAGTTTGCAGATGACACCAAGCTGAGTGGTGTGGTTGACATGCCTGAGGGACAGGATGCCATCCAGAGGGATCTGGACAGGCTCAAGAAGTGGGCCCATGTGAATGAACCTCATGAGGTTCCACGAGGCCAAGTGCAGGGTCCTGC